TGATTTGCAGGAGGAAGCTTTCAGAGATCATTTTAAAGGTAATGTCACTTTAAGAGAACCTGCTTTTTTCACTTATAACCCTAATTTTTGAGGAGAGCAAGAGAGCTTAGAAATATTTTAGAAAAGAACCTTGGCCTTGCTTTCTGCACAAACATTTCAGTGGAGGAACAGTGCAGATCATCTCAGAATGACAACCACTAAACCAAGGGATGCTGTACTTACTGAGCACTGAGACTTTGGCATGCAGTACTGTAGGCCATGTAATGTGTTTTTATCTGCTCTTCCTGGAACAGGCATCAACAACATAAAGTCCATAGGGGCCATACTCCCAAGAAACTACTAAGTGGCACCCACAGAATTCCCAAAAGCAAGCTTTAAAGAGGGATGGAAACCTTACAAGATGGCTCAGTCTTGCAGGCTTTCACTGTTCTCACATCTCAGGAGTGAAAGTTCCGAAATCTCACGAGATGTTGGCTGTTGTAGTGGCTTTGGTGCGCACACCATCACAATTCAAAGGGCTGTCATCTCCTGCTCTAGTGCTACCTGCTTGCAGTTGAAGGAACTGAAACATCCTGCTTTTTCATCATTCATCATATTTGGTTGATTCCAACTAGTTCCAAATCCAACATTTTATTTATGAAGATATGCTGCTTCCACCCACAGATGTATTGTATTTACATTTATATGCCACATGGAATGCTGGAGATCCCCATTAACTGTATATATTTGAAAAATCTTAATTTTAATCTAACATTGTGATTTGCATTTTAAAAAGCTGTGAAGGTTAACGCTCTAAACAAAACGAATTTAGATTATACGCTGGTAACAGGGTTTACAATTCCTGTTGTTGAATCTTACAGATTGCATCTGATTGCTGTAGATGATCTTTACTTTTTTAATCTACTGTAATAGCTTTATCTGAATGTCAGCAAAGGCAAAATTGATGCTGAATATGGAGCACAGGTATGGGTACCGGAAAAAGAATGAACGTGAGGGAAGAATAACAGCCTTCTAAAATCAAAGCTATTCACTTTTGAACATTAGAAAACAAAGTTTAGTGATGGAATATAAGTACATAGTTGGTAGCTTATTAGGTTTAAAAACAAAATTGTCTAGTTCTTTTCAAAAACAGCATCCTAGTTTTGGCACAGACTTAGGAGTGGTGTTCACTGTGGCAAGGAGAAAGAATAAATAGTGGTGCTTCCATAGACGTGGGGAACTTGTGACCTGCTGGATGATGTTAAACACCAATTCCCAGCATGTCCAGTGACCCTGGATAATGGGGACTGTCACTAAGCACAGAAAGGGCTGTGGCTTTTCTCGGCAAAAGAAGGGCACGGCATCACAGGTAAGTATCCTGCAGCTTTCCATGATCAGTATCTGTACATGGCTTGTTTCTAGATGAGGTCTCTGCAAAGCCTTTGCAAGAGATGAGCCTTTGTTCTAGAGCCCGGCTGCTCATAGCTACTTTACTTGTTTTCTTCATAGCAGCTTCATGAAGATGCAGGATGGAGTTAGCTGAGGGTGGCTTTCAAAGCATCCCAAAACTTTGCAAAAGACTCATCTTGCTCTCACAGTTCAAAGAGAGATGGTCTGTGTTGTGGAATAGCTCTGAAAAGGCTTTGCGCAGCCCTGTTACAAACCCAGAATTCAGGAGACTCATATTTAAAAAGTCAAGTTGGGCTAAAGCTTTTGTTCTTCCTGTTTCTTCTGTTGCAACATTTAAAGTCATTTGCAGGGGTAGGGCTTCCTTTTCTTTTTTTTAACTCTCTCCTTTTTCTTGCATTTCAAGCAGAGCAGGAAAAATGCCACTGTCTCACTGTTTTTGCAGTTAGTTACCTTGAATTCTTTCCAGTTTAAATTTATAACAACTGATTACTGCTTCTTGCAACCAGTACTGCATATATTAGGAGAAAAAGATGTACAATTTGCCCCTATTTATTGTTTTGCTAACTTCTTTAACATTTCAAGGTTGTGGTTTTGTTGTATACAAGTTGTGTTCTTCCTAATGTATATACTAGTAAAATGTCTTGACAGTTAAGCATATTGGTGCCAAGAAATAAATGTCTTGGAATCCCTTACACTTGTTTCAATCTCCTACCTCTGCTCATATCCATATGAGTAAACTAGCTCATGTGACAATTACCCTTATTTTCTTTTTTTCCTGCACCCCTAAATCTTCTCTGAAAGAGACTCCAACTCTCTGGAGCATCCAGAAGGTGTGTTGAAGAGAGAGGTCTTCCTTTGGCAGCAGGTTTTGCTCCACTGGGGGCAGTAAGGATCACTTTTCCAAATTTGTTAATCCTCTTCTGGAGGAGCAATAACAGGTCCTTTACAACAACAATATCAAGAAGATTTGCATCCTTAATTCAAGTTTGAAAGGATTAGCCGCCAAAAGAGGTATTTATAACAATCCTCTGGCAACCACAGATCACAGAGAACTATAGATGTGCAGACAGAGAATATGAAGGCACTTACAGGTGACTAAGCAGGAAATACAGAAGAAATGTTGTATACGGTTTGATAGGGCTACCAAATCTGGGCTGCAAAAACTTAATATGACCAGTAGCTGGCAGCAAAGAGGTTGGAGGATCACTGTAGGGCCATGTAATGTTTGTATGGATGTTTGCAGCCCAGATGATGTGAGATAACATTTTGAGTGCTTCAGTTAAGCAAACAGTGTTGGTTATTTGGGAGATAGATGTTCATTTTGGATTGAAATCTCACACAGCATTCTTACAAATCTGACACTGTCATAGGATAGATTTGGAAATGTCTGATATAATTTTGATCTCCATTTTTTGTAACACAGAAGCCAAGGTGAAAGCAACTCATAAAGGAGGTTCTACAAGAGAACTTGTACAGGGAGGTGTTGGTTTATTTGGAAGATATCCTGATTTATACTGAAACTATGGAGGAGCATGTGCAATTGGTGAGGAAAGCGTTGTGGAAGCTGTTTGCCAAACTCTCCAAGTGCGATTTCCATAAAGAACAGATTGACTATTTGGGGTATAGGATATCACATCAGGGGATTGAGATGGACCCAGCCAAGGTGAGGGATGTGATTGGCTGGGAAGCTCCCAAGACACGGCAGCAGTTTCAAAGTTTCCTGGGCTTCGCTAATTTTTACTGCGTATATACTGTAGAAGCTCAAAAGGTGCTCAAATGCAAATTTTTAAAAGGCTTTTAAGGATTTTGAGGGGGTTATCACCAGATTGCAAATTGTAGTAGGTTTTATACTTTGGATGGAGAGGAATAAAGGAAAAAGCATTTTGTTTTCAGTTACAGGAATCTTTCACAACAGTTTTGTAAGAATTATATAATTTTCATTGACAGGACATCTTACCCAACATCAAAGAGGAAGAATAGTCCTTCATCCTGTAACGACCTGACACCTCCATCTCCCAGTTCCAGTAACTCTCCTGGCAACCATTCATGATTCCAAAAGAAAGTTCATTTATTGAGAATAAGTGTACAGACCCAAAGCATTGCCAAGATTGAGCCCATGCACGCCAAAAGCT